GGCAAATCTGCTGCACAGGAACTTTTTAAAGTGTTGAAGAGCAGAGATGTCAGCTTGAGGGCTAAGGTGCGCCTGACCCAATCCATGCTATTTTCAATAACCTTATATGGATGCGAAAGCTGGACAGTGAATAAGGAAGATCGTAGAATTGATGCCTTTGAATTGTGGTGTTGGAGGAGAATACTTAAAGTGCCGTGGGCTGCCAAAAGAACCAATAGATCTGTTTGGGAAGAAGTGCAGCCAGAGTGCTCCTTAGAGGCCATGATGGCCAAACTTCGTCTCTCATACTTCGGACATATTGTCAGGAGGGAACCAGTCACTCGAGAAGGATATCATGCTTGGTAAGATGGAGGGTCGGAGAAAAAGAGGAAGATCCCCAACAAGATGGATTGGCCAGGTGGCATCATTGATGGCATCCAGTGTGGCAGCAGTAGTGAGGTTGGCCCAGAACCGGACACTGTTTCTTTCTGGGGTCGCTATGAGTCGGTTCTGACTCGATGGCACCTGACAACAACAACAACAAAACATATTTCTGATATCCTTTGCTTTTAGCCAAGATCCATCTGAAGGCAGCAATGATCTCACTTGTTCTACCTCCTCATCTGAATCTGGCTTGAAACTCTGGCAGATCCTTGTCAGTGTACTATTGTAGCCATTTTAAAAAATTATCTTCAGCAAAATTTCCTTTGCATGTGATATTAATGATATTGTTCAATGATTTCCGTATTCCATTGAATCGCCTCTTTTTGGAAAGGGCACAAATATGGATCGCTTCCAATGCTTGGCTAGGTAGCTATCTTCCAAATTTCTTAGCGTAGATGGAGAGCATGTTTCAGACTCTCTTCTGACAACCATTGTCTTTTCTTTCTTTCTTATCTTCCTAATGATTTTTTGCTTTCTTCCTGTGTGATATGATTGATGTCATCCTACAACTCTTCTGGTCTTCTATCTTTAGTGTCTAATGCATCAAATCTGTTCTTCAGATGATCTCTAAATTCAGGTGGGATATGTACAAGATCATATTTGTGTTCTTGTGGACTTGTTTTCATTTTCTTCAGTTTCAATCTGAATTTGCATATGAACAATTGATGGTCTATTCCACAATCTGCCCCTGGCCTTGTGTTGACTGATGATATGGAGCTTTTCTACCATTTCTTTCCACAGATGGAGTCAGTTTGATTTCTGTGTATGCCATCTGGTGAGGTCCATTTGTAAAGTTGTCTTTTTGTTTTGTTTTAAGTTTTTATTGTAAAGTGAGTAATAGTTTACATGGGAGAACATTGGCTTGACACCATTTCATTGCAATGATTACAATCTCCTCCATGCATCATCATTTCACAGTATTTGCTTCCATTCCCTTTGGTTTATTTTTGGGGGGTGGGGTGGACTTGGAGGTACACAGAAGTGCTCAGGAAAATATAATTATTTAAACAATCAAAGAGCACATTCTGCAAGCCTGCTTCTTGACTGCCAATACCCAGTCCCTCTTTGTCCTTGAGTCCAGGGTCCTCAGCTGCTCCCTCTCTCTATGTCCTCATCTCTGCCTCCATCTCTGGTGTCACTTCTCTGGATAGGGTCCCGCCTTCTGCTTGTGTGTAAAGTTGTCTTTTATGTTATTTTTTTTTTAATTGCAATAAATAAGTCATTGGTCTTACAAAATTCTATAGAGCAATCTCTAGCATTATTTCTATCACCAATGCCATATTGTTCGACTACTGATCTTTCCTGTTTCCAACTTTCACATTCCAATCACCAGTAACTATCAATACATATTGATTGCATATTTGACAATTTCAGACTGAAGACGTTGGTAGTATTCTTCAATTTCATCATCACTTGCTTTAATGTTCCTGTGTATATTTGAATATGAATGGTATTAATTTGTCTTCCCTGTAGACTTATGGATATTATCCTTTCACAGACAGCATTGTACTTCAAGATAGATCTTGAAATATATTTTTGATGATGAATGCTGTACCATTCCTCATAAATTTGTTGTTTCCAGCATAGTAAATTATATGATTGTCAGACTCAAAATGGTCAATACAAGTCCATTTCATCTCACTGATGGTGGTGGTGGTGATAGTGGTGGTGTGCCATGGAGTAGGTTCTGACGCACAGCAAGCCTGCCTAGGCTCAATAACGCTTAGGATGTTAATATGGGTGTGTTCCATTTCATTTTTTGACAGCTTCCAAAATACTTCAAAAATACAGTGTTCTGATTATTAATGGATGTTTACACCTATTTCTCCTCATTTTGAGTTGTGCCCAATCAGCAAATGAAGGTCCTGAAAGCTTTACTCTGTTTATGTCATCACAGTCCACTTTACTTTGAGGAGGCAGCTCATCCGCAGTTGTATTTTGAGTGCCTTCTAACCTGAGTGGTCCATCTTCTGGCACTGTATCTGACAATATCCTGGTGTGTTCATAAGGTTTTCACTTCGGGGCACTATATCTGACAGTTTTTTCCTGCTATTCATAAGGTTTTCAGTTGCTAAACATTCAGATGTAATCCGCCTCTCCTTATTCTTAGTCTGTTTTAGTGTGAAAGCTCTGTTGAAACTTGTTCACTGTGGGTGACCCTACTGGTTTTATATATATGTGTGTGTGTGTGTGTGTATAGCTTCCAGTGTCACAGCAACACACAAGCCCCCACAGTATAAAAAACTGACAGACAAGTGGTGGCGCTGCGGTGGTTGCTGTTGTTAAGTGCCGTCGAGTCGGATCCTACCCATAGTGACCCTATACAGGATTTCCGAGGAGCAGCTGCTGAGCTTGAACCACCGACCTTGCAGTTCGAACAGCTTTGCAGTCTGGCACATTAACCCATGGCGCCATACCAGGACTCCGGTGTTGTAGTTAGAGGGCAGGAATTGTCCCAGAATCTGAAATAGTCTCGCCTTCTGGATTGGTTTCCTAGTTTCTGTTACAAAGTACCAAAAAGCGGGAGTCTAATAAGAACAGAAATTCATTGTGAAACCAGCTGCGTCGGTTCCCTTTGTGACTCGAGAGAAACTACCCCATGCCTCCCTCCTGGCTTATCGCAACTCCAGGTGTTCCCTGACTTGCAGCTGCTGGTACATCTTCCTGTGTCTCCCTGTGTCTGTTTTTCTTCTCTTTTGGTAGGAAGCCACTGATACAGGATTAGGATGTACCACTCCTAATGTTAGCCTAACTGATCCATCTTCAAAGACCCTGTTTCCAAACAAGATCACCTTCATAAGTACAGGGCTTAGGACTTCAGCATACCTCACTGTGGGTACAGTTCAATCCACAACACCTTCCTCCATGTCTAACACACCACATGCTCCTCTTCTGTGCAGGTGTCACCATGAAGCTCATGGACGAGGTGGCCGGGATCGTGGCTGCCCGCCACTGCAAGACCAACATCGTCACAGCCTCAGTGGATGCCATTAATTTCCACGACAAGATCAGAAAAGGTAATAGAGCCCTTTTGACCAAAGGTGAGGGAGGGAGTGACTGTTTTGCTGCTCGTGTCCCTTGCACCAGCTGGCTTTATTTTCCCCAGCATCCGTGGGCCCTGGTGTTTGTCTGTTGGTTACCACTCAATATCACCTGGGCTCTGCTGTCTGTCTGTTTGCCTCCAGAAGAGGCAGCCCGAGTGCTCTGCCTCTTCCTTGCTGGTACATCTATGAGACTGTTGGATGCTTTAATTTTTCATTCTGGTAAAATCTGTAACTCAGATATGACAGGGGCCTGTGTCCTATTAAAGACCAGCACAAGTTCATCTCCTAAAACGTCCTATAAACAAAGTCCTGTGAAGGTCCTGTCCACCCGTGACCCATTCTCCAGGCAGCACATTTTGTGTACATGGAGCCTCAAATGTGACAATTGTGAGAATGATGCAGAACTGGGCAGTGTTTCGTTCTATTGTGCTCAATGTCCCTGTGAGTCAAAACCGACTTTACGGCACCCAACAACAGCAAAGCTTCACTCTCCTGTTTGTGCCCCCTTTCTGCCAGGAGCCCATGTCAAAGGAGCCTCACCCAGACCTCATAAGGCACTATCTGAGCAGGGTGGTGCCCTCTTCCAAAGTGGCTCCCTGGATAGAACCCACGTGGCAGTTGAATGCCCATGTGCTGGGACAGAAGTGTCCTGACATTGGACTCTGGAGGGTGCCTCCACTCTGAGAGCAGCTTAGGTTCACCTGCTTGGATTTGGCATGTTTGTAGGATGAGGATAAGGACCACGGATGGCGTTGCCCCTCAGCTTTGCAGAATCCCTCCTAACCTGGTAGATGTTTGCCACAATTGTAATCTACACGTCCCGTTAGAATTTACCTAAAGCAAGTGGGCCTAGTCTGACCTTAGCTCCCACTCTGTCTGTCTTGATTGCTGATGTATGTGGATGTTGAGCATGGCAGTAGTCTTCCCTTGTGCAAGAGAAGATTCTTCTTGTACCCTGATTTGATGTCTCTTTTTCTGGAATTTATACCTGATAGTTTGTCATGACCATGACTAGGGCTATATCGAGTGCTGTAGGGTAAGCACTGGACTCCTAACCACAAAGTTGGAGTTCGATCCCAGCAGCCACTCCTCAGGAGAAAGATGAGGCTTTGTGCTCCCATAAAGATTTGTAATCTCGGAAACCGTACATAGGATAGCTATGAGTCGGAACTGACTAGACAGCACTTAATAACAGCAGGGCTATATTGTTATATACAAATTCCAAATTCATCAGTTAAAACACTTACATTCCTCATAACTAGCTCTGTGGACCCCCATTGCTCCCCGAGTGCCCTTTGAGAGCCACTAAAGAAAGAAGCGCCGTTTTTTAGGTATTCAGACAATCACCTTCATGCCGGCCCAGTCTGCGGACATGCGTCTCCTTTCTGAGAGATGCCCAAAGACTAAAGAACCAGAAGTTAGAAGTAAGGAAGCCATCAGTACAAAAACCCTTTCCAGACTGCACCTCACTTACTTATCTGGCCAGATGCATCTCTAAGAGAAAGTTTAAGAACATGCTACCATTGGTTCCCCGCCATTAGGAATGATCAATTTTGAAGGGGAATTAACAGCTCTCATCAGAGTATTTTTTTCTGGAGATTCATTTAGGAACCTGGAAAATGAACAGGGACAACTTGTATGAAGAACTGCTTTTGACAAAAAACATTATTTCCTTTCTAAAAGATAAAAAAACAAAAACCACAGTCCTTGTTTAGTTGACTCTGACTCTGACTCCTCGTCACCCCGTGTGTGTCAGAATAGGTGGATATTTTTGAAAGTAGATTACCAGGTCTTTCTTCCGAGGCAGCTCTTGGTAAACTCAAACCTCCAACTTGTCAGTTAGTAGCTGAACACTTAACTCTTTGCTCCATCCAGAGATATACTAAAAAAGTTCACCTAAAACACAAATGAAGGGTCTTCTTTTTGGGAACAATGATTTCTGGCAGGACATTCCACTTGTGAATTGCTTTCCTCCAGGCATTGAGGGGCAGAAACAGGCTGGGTGGGCTTCTATATCCAGCTCTACTAAGGGGCTGGCCTGGGTGGTCTACCTGTGCCCCAATTTCTGCGGTGACCACCACACTTGTGTCCTGAGTCTGCTCAGTCCAGGCCTGGGAACTCCTTGGGGAAACCAGCTTCTCTCTGGGAGTGGAGTGTGTTTCTATTTTCTCAGACAACGTGATGTTTTGTACATAAAGGAATTTGGGCCAAATGAAAATAATCGTGGTGGAGCCTGACCTCTTTCTGTGAGCGTGTTCTCCGGGGCCTTAGATGCTGTCACACCTTGCTTGTTGTTTTCTAGCAGGAGGTCACTTCTCCCCACATTGTGCTCTATTGAAGAGAGTCCCTTGATAGGGTTTGGGCTGAGGTGCCCCGCTCTGCTCCTGTCACACACAGGATTGTCAGATTTTGTCCTCAAAATCTGGGGCAGAGGCCTCTGACCTTCTCCCTCAGAGAGGCCGATCAGGGTAATGGTCAGGAGGCCCTTCAGGCTCTGGCATCTCACATTTCAGGGTTGGGGTGGACGTCCTGTACTCAGCTGTTTTGTGCTGACTTCCTGGGGTGACTCAGCTGAGGCCCCCTCTTTTCATGCTTGTGGTGGTCTCATTGGCTGCTGGCCTTTTCCCACCACCTTCGCTTCAGCGCTGACATGAAGGTGTGCCAGTGGTAGGTGAAGACCGGCTTCCAAGCAGAAGGTGGAGCCCAGTTGGGTCCCCCAGGCTCACATGCTGCAGCGGTCTCCGTCACTGTAGAATGTCACCTCTTCTTAAAGCTTGACTCTTGCAAACATGAGCTCATTCTTGCCTTAAATTTTGAAGCTGGTGAAGCTTCCTTCTGGGCCCCCAAGCTGCTTCTGCCCACATTCGGTTCCTGTCTTGTAAGGCCTATGAACATGGAAGAAGCAGCCACACCCTCACCTGCCACTCAGGTGAGGCACCTGCCCAGAAGTTAACCATGGAGAGTGTAGGCTCCCTAGACCCACACTTTAAAAACAGCCCCCAGTTTGCATGGGTGGGAAATGCCTCACAACTTGCCACTGAAGCAGCTGTCTTTGGTTGCCCCTGTTGGCATATTTGCTTTTTATAATCCTGAACCACAGAGGACCATCTGCCTCAACACACACACACACACACGTGTTCTGTCATCGTTATCACAGTCTGTCCTGGAAAGGCCTATGATCACAAAGGTTGATGGCTGCCCGGGACACACCAGAATCAGCCTAAGCCCCTCGCCTGACAGGAGCCTGCCCACCCCCCATCCCATATACACACACACACACACACACACATACAACTGTATGCCAATCATGCAGGCTGAGCACATGTGGATCTGGCAGGTGTTTGCCTCCAAGGTGAGACCAAGGAAGGAACACTTCATCTGTGAAGCTGGATGGGGTCCAACCTCAGGATCACGGACGCTATGGCCCATAGTCCTGTCCCCAGGGCACATTGCAAAATGGAAAATGACTCTGGTGACCACCTGCCTCGTGGGGCTTTTTGGCCCAAACTCCTGGGGTATGGTGAGGACCACAAAATAAGTATGGTGGGTGGAATCCCACCAAATGTTTACATGACATGATGGGCAAGTTGGCGCCATCTAGAACAAGCAGATCAATGTCACTTCAAAATGGAAACTTAAGTCTTTTGGGTCACTTGCTTCATTTCTGATTTTATATTTTCGGTGAAAAGTTAAAATGCCAAAGCAACCAACCACAAAGAAAAGTTCAAGGGGGGAAATAGTTACCTTCCGTGGAATCGTTTGGGAAGGCTAAAAATAAAGCTTTCTTGTGGAGAATAGAGTCCCCAGATTAGGAGCTGTTGCAGTGAAGGATGAGGAATAATTCTAGAAAAGGTTTAGGGATAGATTATGTAAAGAATACCAAAGTTAGCTTGCTGCTTCCCAGCTTTTCCTAAGGAAGTTCATTGCCACGGTTCTTTGTGGCGCATAAGCACTGAGTGGTTCTTACACTTCAAAACACTTGGCATGCCCTCGGCCTGGTAACAGCTCATTTTTATTATTCTGTTTTCTTTTCAAAATCCCTGGCATCTGGCTGGATTCTGGCCACTGCTGACCCAAGAGAGATGCCCATCTACCGGGGAGTCGGACTGGGTACCGCCAGGGTTCACATGTCACCTTTCCACTCGGGCTCAGCTGTTACTGAAAAACAAAAAACCAAAAACCAGCTCAGCTCACTGCGAGCTCTTGGTATATTAACCATGGTGTTGTTAGCTGCCACCAAGTCAGCGCCTCGACTCATGGCAACCCCCGGATTGTTGTACTCCATAGTGTTTTCAGTGGCTGATTTTTAAAGGTCACTACCTAGTCCTTCTTCCATATTTAACAACGCTGTTGTTGTTGTTACGTGCTGTCAGGTTGATTCAGACTCATAACAACCCTGTATAGGGTTTCCAGGGAATGGCTGGTGGATTTGAACCGTCAACCTTGTGGTTTGCCATTCAGTGCTTATCCTACAGTGCCACACCATGACTCCTATTAAACTATAGTATTTATCATGGGGGCTCCTGGAGTAGTGCTGCGGGTTAATGCACTGGACTGCAAGGTCACCAGCCATTCCTTGGAAACCCTATACAGGGTCGCTGTGAGCTGGAACCGACTGGACAGCACTTAACAACAACACAACAGAGTCCTGGTGTGTTGCTGTAGGGTAAAGTACTGGACTGCAAAGTCAGTTTGAACCACAAGGTTGACAGTTCAAATCTACCAGCCACTTCACGGAAATCCTGTACAGGATCACTATGAGTCAGAACTGAGTCTACGGCACTTAACAACAACAATATTTATTATGGAGTTCTGTGGCGCTGTAGGATAAGCATTGGACTGCTAACTGCAAGGGTGGTGGTTCAAATCACAGCTGTTGTCCGGCACACTCCTTGGAGAGTTGTGTATGAAACTTCCAACTTTCTGAAGTAGCTTGAAAATGCTGTTGAGGGGCTCTCAGAATTAGTGGAGTCAAACTCCAAATGGGGCACAGCCTGGTTTGTGTTTCTGTTAGTCTTGCTCATCTGCCTGCACATGGGCCCATTCTTCAGGTAAATTCCAAGGCAGACAGCACTCTGAGGTCCCGCCCCACTCATTTCCACCCCCACCTCTTCCCAGGAGCAGCTCCATGTTATAAAAGGCTGGCGCTAGAACTCCCCTAACTTCACCCAGAGGAGAGATGAGAGTCAGCGTCAACATCAGCCCCAAGTGGAGGTCAGACCTACCTCCCCTCTCCCAGCCTTTGTGCCCTTCCTCCCACAGCACTCTCTACTTGTCTGTGGGCTCTGGTCAGTGTTTGCAGTGGCCACACAGAACTCAGACTGTCCTCCCAGTTATGAGGTTTGTGAGGGAAGCTACAGGGTACAATTCAAGATTAGGATCAACTCAGAATACAGTTCTTGCCCTGAGTACCCCAGATACCCATCTGTGCAGTGTCCACTGGGGCAGAGAGGAGCCTTCCTGTGCTCAGCTCAGAGGACTTCAATGGCAGCCCTGAAGGCACAAACCACGTTGCTGTATCTGAGGCTACGGTACCTGTTAGGATGGGTTATGCTGGGGCCCATCCAGCATAAGTCATGAACCACAACCCCTTGAGCCCTGGCTGCTTGGGATGTGGGGGCTGCTTGGGACGGTGCTGAACCAGACTAGGCTCATTCTGCTGCAGGCCTTCCGGGCCTGGTGGAGACTACAGTGGTGAGAGGGCTGGATGGCAAGGTTGTAGCACACATGGAGCAGAGTGCTCTGAGTGAAACACTCATTGTTCTGGAAAGAACTGGGAGGGAACCTCCCGGCAGCTCCCCTGAAGGAGAGGCGCTGGATCTGAGACCCTGGGGGCCCAGAGAGAATGCAGCAAAACAGGAGAAGGGTAGAGAGGCGCACTTCAGGGATAAAGGGGAGACCATGGGGCTGAAGCGTTTATCCCCATACACTGAGACCCATTCCTGGGAATCTGGCCACCCCCACACCTGATGGCAGACAGGGTCCTAAGGAGGCCATGACCGTGCAGTGGTACTGGATGGGACAGGGGTGAAGGGTTTGTGGGGAGCTTTTCTCCCACGTTGAAGCTGACAGGTACTGACTAAGGCTGGAATTATCTGGAAGGACCCTAGCAGGGCCCTTGAGGGGAGAGAGAGACAAACCCAGGGGCCTGTGCTCCACTTCCCTCCCAGACACCCACGTGGGGCCAAGCACAGGAGTGTGACTAGGGGGTGGTTCCTCCTGAGGAGGTCTGGAAGAGAGGAGGCCCTCTGGACATTTATGTTCTCCCCTGCACATGACCACAGCCTTTCCAACCATCCAAACCTCAGACTTCCAGCCGGTCAGTCACCCAGGTGAGCTCTGAGCTTTGCAGTATGTCCCTGCAGTCTGCCAGCCAGACTGAAAACACAAGCTTGTTTAGAATCATAGTGGTGCTCTCTCTGAAAGGTGAGACGGTTCAGGTTCTGTTTGTAATTAAAACTGCTCCTGACTATGATAGGATTGAGGTTGAATTGTATGCACTCCAAGCCAGCCTGCTCTTTTCCCGTTGTTTTGTCTGATGCTGAAAAATCACTGACTAAATTGTGTGGAACCATTTTAGGTTGAAGTTAAGACGTTCCTTCAGACTTTTAGCACAAAGATTGAACTGCAACCAGCTGTAATTTTTGCTTGGGTATGAGAGGAATCTTTCCATGAGAGATAACTCGTAGGTGAGTTGCTCCAACTCAGGGTGACCCCATATGCGTCAGCGTAGAACTGTGATCCATACGGTTTTCAGTGGCTGATTTTTGGGGAAGAGTTCTTGAGGTCTTTCTTTCAAGGCACTTCTGGGTGGACTCAAACCTCCAGCCTTTTGTTGAGCAGCTGAGTAAGTGCATCAACGGTTACACCGCCCAGAGGCCCCTGGGAGACTGCAAAAGGTCATTTTCCAAACAAATGGCCACATTTAGAGACTCCTGGCATAGCTCTCAGTGGAACAGACATCTAGACCCTTAGGAAAGTCCTTGTTGATTTCCTTTTGGGGGGAAGGACTTGTGCTTGCTTCTTAGCTGTGGCTCCCGAGTCTTATGTATGGTCATCAGTGAGAGGTGTTGACTGGGCTTTTGGGGTTGGGCCAGAATGGGAAGGAGGCCAGAGGTCCTCACGTGACCCCTTCTATGCTAGGAAGCGAGGGCCCTGGGTCCTGCCCTTTCCCCAGGGTGTGGTGTTGGATGACTATTGGCTGGACGCTTGGACATGACTCTCACGCCCCTTGCAGCTCATATAGCACTGTTTGTTTGCCGCTGACCACACAGCTCCTTCCTTCCCACCCAGAAATGGCCATAGGCGACATGAAGTGCTCTGTAAGTATGAGGTTGAATATGGCATGGAACATTATAGAACTTGATAACATGGAATAACTGCTTCTATCTCTAGCCTGCCTGCACACTCACCCCTACCCCTAACAGTCTCAGCACTACCCTCCACTTGCCTCTCTTCCCAAGTCTCTGAACATGTCTTGTCTGGGTAGAGCTAGACATCAGAGTTCCCAGGTGGGAGTGAGAGAGGAAGAGCTCCCGAGAGGTCCTCTCAGTGAGTAGTCAGACTCAGGGAAAGAGTTTCTGAGCTACGTGTTGTCAGGGGGAGGCAGCAGCAACCAGGTACAGCCCTTTACCTGGAAACCTCCATGGGCGGGTGCTGCCTTGGCGTCCACAAAAGTATCACCTCTAACCATGAATAGGTGCCCCCAACCCGGCATCCAGCCCAATGCTTTGCTTATTCCATTGGATTCTTGTTCGTTACCGTGAGAGATAGGTTACAGGTAGAAAGCTGAACTCAGTGACGTCGAGGGATTATGTCAGATTATGTCAGAGTCCAAGGCCAGGAGGTGGGAGGGAACCCATGACTTGATGGGTAGGTAGGGGTGAAAGAGAAGCTCAAGGTCAAACAGCCACAACCAGGGTTTCCGTTAGGGATGTCATTGTGCTCTGGGGAAAATTGCTCATGTAGGAAGTGGTAAGCATCTTGGGACAATATGATCACATTGGTCAAGGGGTTGACCAAGGAAAGGGTCCTGGGTGGCATCTGGAAAGGCAGCTGTTAGAGGCGAGCACTAATCCATGGGCAAGACTCTACCAGGGAGATGACCTAAAGGGTCAACAAGAATGGAATCCTGATGAGACAGCCCTGTCCGACCCCACCTGGAAGGAGAGTGGAAAAGCTGCTCTGGGTCTCGTAGTCGTGCACACAGAGCCAGAGGTGGCTAAATGACCACAGATAATGTGATGGCCTGGCAGGCAGCTGTCAGGCCAGCATCAGGGATGTTGGTGGAGGTAGGAAGCGAGCCAGCAGATGGGAAGAATCTCTTTTAGTAATGCTCAGGGCAACATGGCAGCTGTCCTCAGTTCTTGGTGGTATAACTGGTACCTTCAAAGGGTGGGCAGTGCAGACTGCAGATCCACCTTCACCTCAGCAAGGACAAAGCCAGCTCACTACTGTTGTTAAGTGCCATCGAGTTGCTTCTGACTCATAGCGATCCTGTATAGCGTTTCCAACAAACAGCTCGTGGATTTGAACCACCAACCTTGGGGGCCAGTGCTTATCCTACAGTGCCACACCAGGACTCCATCTCACACCTGGTGGTGGTTCTGGTGGTGCTGGTGTCCCATAGAGTCGGTTCTGACTCATAGAAACCCTGTATAGGGTTTCCAAGGCTATAAATCTTTATGGGAGCAGAAAGCATCATCTTCTCCCGAGGAACAGCTGGTGGTTTCCGAACTGTTGACCTTGAGATTGGCAGATGCTCACTAGTAGGTTGGAGGCTTGCCTCAGGCGGAGCCAGGGTGCCTCTAGAAGCATTAGACAGATGCTGCCACTGCTGGGGGTTGGGGTAGGAAGAATGGGAGGTTTCCATCTCATGGTTGCCAAAGTCCCTTCAGCTCTTGATGTAGATGATAAAAACCAACTCTTGCTCATTAGAAAGATAAAAGCTCCCAGGCTACTAATGAAACACTCTAACTTGCCATTTTAATTTCGTAGTAGATATTAAATTACCTGCTGCCTAACAAGCATCTTCTCATTGTAATTAACAACACTGACTTCCTGGCCCTGGCCCTGCCCCACCTGTCCCCTTGGGGGCCCTGTTGTTAGATTTCGGGCAGATGTGACCTTCACTCTCCCCCATGCTCTACAGGGTGTGTCATCACCATTTCTGGGCGCATGACCTTCACGAGCAACAAGTCCATGGAGATCGAGGTCCTAGTGGACGCTGACCCCGTGGTGGACAACTCACAGCAGCGGTACCGGGCTGCCAGTGCCTTCTTCACCTACGTGTCCCTAAGCCAGGAGGGCAGGTCACTGCCTGTGCCCCAGCTGTTGGTGAGTGTTGACTCCAGCCGGTGTTCTGGGGAATGTTGGGGATGAGGTTGGGTGGGCATGCCCCAGTGAGAAATTGAGTTCACAGAGCCCATACCCTGTAGCTTTGCCTGGAGGATCAGAACTGGGCTTGTCTGGCTTTGACCTTCCTTGGCCAGCGGCCTCAGGCTACAATACATGTCAAAGAGACCACAGGAAGGGAGGCCTTGTAAGCTGTAGTGAGGCCTTGGCTGCTCTTTCTCACTGTGGGTTTGGGATCAGGAACTGTAGGATTAGGCTGATGAGAAAGCACTTCCTAGAAGATCAAAGTCATACTCCTGGGCAAGCCCTCTGGGCCTTCTCTGGCCTCCTCCTCCTGTCCAGCAGCCTCCATGCCTTAAGAAGGATCTGGACTCTTTGGCTCTGGTGTGTAAGGGTGATGTGAGGTCTGGACCATAGCGCCTCCTGTGGTTTCCATCCCTCTGCCAGGGGCCTAGTGGGAAGCTGGAGGAGTGGACTCTCTTAGCCTTGGTCTACCTCCTGCGTGGACACAACCCTGAGGAATGGGGATATGGGCTTGGCCCTTCCTGCCTTGGGCAGCCACTCTTGGCTCTGAGTATGGGTGGGGTAGGAGGGGATAGGAGTCCCCATCACATGTCCTCACACACAGGTGTCTGGTGCCCCAGTGCACATTCTCTGAGCTTCTCCTAGCAGTTTGGACCCTAGAGGCTCACAGCTACCCAGCCTGAACACTAGCATCCATGCCTCTGTCACAGGAATGGAGGTGCACGGCCCCCATTTCCTCATCCTGGCCAGCACCCAGGGACTCTACAACCTAAGGTATAAAGTTAGCAGTTTCAGAGCCTACTATTCTTGGTGGCTTCGAGAAGCATCTTGTCACTGTTCTCTTTACAGCAGCCTAGGTGTAGAGGACTCGAGGAGACTTGGGAGGGGTGGCCTTTTTTAATTCAATAAACAACGAGTTGGCATCCACGAGCAGTTAAGGATTCCCACCCCTGTTTTCAGCCCATCCCAAGACCCTTCCTTGGCTCCCTTCCCACCCGCTCATCACCACCCCTGCCCCCACCCAGTCCTGGTGGTGCTTCCTTCAATGGCCACTTCTCCCCCGGCCCAGGTTCCTGATGATAACCCGCCACCATAGCCACCTCCCTGGTTCCCCTTGCTCCCCTCCCACACTGCACCCACACAGGCCTATGGCTGACCTCCAATCCTCTGAGCCTTCTCCAGCCTCACCCTGCTGTCCCACAGCCTCCAGCGGCCTTCAGAGGCCATGAGGGTGCTTCCGGTGAAGTGCATGGGACCCACTGTGTGCATGCCTGCCCATGAAAGCAGACATGAGGAAGGTGCTGGTGGGAGGCAGGTTTCCCATGGCTCCAGGACTCCATGGACCAGACACAGACTGTAGCCTGTGTGCTGAGCAATGGGGAGCCGTTGAAGGTCAGTCCCAGTCAGTGTTCCATTCTGAAGAAGGACTGGTCAGTCAGGGTGTGAGGCCAAGAGGACCTGGCCCCCAGGGAGGGCTGTTAACCTAGTTGGAGGGGTTGAGAGACCTTGGAGCTAGGACCCCCACGACCTGGCAGCTGCTAGAAGGCATCCAGCTGGGGAAGACAGAAAGGAAGAAATTTTCATGTGCTAGGTAAAGAATGAATGAGTAAATGGAGACCAATGTCAGTTTGGGGTTTCCTGAGACTGGTGATGGCTTTATAATAAGCTTCCCAAAGTCCCTGGCAACGGTGATCCTATAACGACCTCATAGGAGCGTCCCAGCACCTGGCAGGCTGACCCTCTGCTTGCTTCTCTGCCAACCTCAACCAGGCTCTTAGTCATCCCCTGCCCTATCTGGGGAGCCACCAGGCTTGCTGGGAATAGAGAAGAAGGGCCCTTCTCCAATTGAGGCTGGTCCTGGATTCTCCTTGACCAGAATCCCTGTCTTTCTGGAATACAGCCCCGGGGAGCCAGCAGGGCAGTGAGGAGGCCAGAGCCCCTGCTGGAGGCCCAGACTGCCTGCTCCTACCAGGTTGATTCCCTCTTCCTGAAGCCCTTTGCACAAGTTCACTGCACTCTCACCAAATCTGCTCCCCATGCAGACCCCCATTGTGCAGTTGCTCAGCCCCTCGGAGGACAGTGTGAACAGAAAGCAATAAAAATCAACATGGTGCATTTAAACTGTATTTCCTCCCATGGGCTGGAATGAGGCTCCACTTGCTTTTTCTTGGGGCTGAAGGTGGCCTCCTGGCCGACCTGTTCTGGCTACTCACAGCCCTCCAACCTCCCAGTCTAGGGGCCTATCTGCAAGAACTCCTCGGAGCCTGCACCTCACCCCTGCACCTTCTCCAGGGAGCAACCCTTCCTCCCAGGCCCCAGCTGAGTATTTCTCCACGTGGTAGGAGGAGCCTCAGCTGCCCACAGGATCCTTTTCCTGGCCTCTCATCCCCCGGCCAGCAGTTCCCGTCCCTCCATTCTCCCATCCATGTGGTTGGGTACCTCCTCTCTGCTGGGTAGGTCCCGGCCTCAAGCCCTCGTGGCTCAGACAGGTCAGGAGCTGCCTGGACAGTGGTTTGTAGTCTTGTGGGCCCTTGACTGGCAGGGTAGAGAGGGGTACACGCAGCAGTGGAGAATGTGAGTCTTGAGGATAGGAGGGTTTGAGCAGGCTGAAAGGCAGGAGTAAGGAGAATGGGATGGAAGCCCTTCCAAAGATGGTGCAGTTTTGTCTACCCTCTGGCTACCCAGTCTCCTAACGGTGGTTCTGACAGGTCCTGACTCAAGCCCCTTCTTGCCCTGTCTCCTGGGCTTGGATCTGCTCCTGGGCCACTGACCTCAACTCAATTCCTGACACCCAGCCTGACCCCACTAGTTCCCCTTTTCCACAGGGTCCCCATAGGCATCTCAAATACAATTCATTGCCTCTCCTCTCCAAATTCTCTGCTCCCCCTCATGTGTCTTACTCTCCCTTTCCACCCAGTATCTAGGCCCCAACATCACTCCCTCCTGAGTGGACCCCATTATCATTACACTCCTTCTGGCATCACGCCACCAGACCCTCTCTTAAGTGCTCCCTCTCTGGCTGCTGCCCCTCATGACCTATTCCACACTGCAGCCTAGTGAGTTTGTTAAGATCAAAGTCTGATCTGAGCTCACTCCTGCCTCAGGACCTTTGCACATGCTATTCTGCCTGAACCTCCATCCTTCCTCTAGAGCCCCAGGGAGCCAGCTCCTCCCACTGTTTCTCAACACCTTCCTCCTTAGAAGGGCCCTCCCTGCCCCCAATGCCTTTCCATCTGTATGGTGTTTTATTCATGGCCTTCGGCACAGTCTGGAATCTTCTAAGGCGTGTGTCAGCTCAGTATCAGCCATATCTCTCTCTACACCCCCAGTGTCTGCTCCCGCTAGACAAGAGTGGTGGCTGTAGGCCCTCAGAAACTCCAAAGCCTCACCTCCCACTTTCATAGCTCTGTGTGCTGTTGGGGTGCCTATGTTTTAACCGGGGCCCCAAAACTAACCCCATGTGTGACTTCAGGCATGTGCTTTGTTCAGTTTCCTTACCTGTAAATGGTACTGGTGGTAGTACCTGTCCGTTTTTATTTATGTACAGTGTTCCCTGATAGAGGAGCCAGGACAGTAAACACAGGGCATGCTAGGTGGTGACGAGGGCCTCGAGGAAAGCAGCTGGAAGTGGGGTGGTAGTTTGGCTGGGGAAGCGGGTAGTTTTAAATAAGAGCCTCTGGAGGAAGGCCTCATTGAGGGGGTTTTCTTTGAGTTGGGACCTGAAATTGGGACAGGAAGAAGCCAGCAATCCAGGCAGAGGGCCCGAGGCAGGAGCTAGCTGCTGGCAAAGGAAGTCACACACCAAGGCCACCGGCTGGTGAAGGGTGACCTGGGACCAGGACTTGGCTAACTGGAAAGACATCCACATGGAAGCCTTTCAGCTGTCTCCACGCTGTAAGGTGCTCCACTCTGCCCCCACCAGTTTATGCATCTCCCAGAACTAGCACCACATGGGAGGGCCTGTGGGAGGTGGAGGACCTCGGCGCTCTCTGTCTGAATCCTCCCCACTGGAACTGGTTGGTCTATAGGAAGAGTAGCCTGTGGTGGACCCTTTGGGGCAGAACCTCTGAGCTGTGCCTGGAGGAGCAATGGGAGGGGTGAGCTCCTTGGGAAAGTGGGAGGGTGCTGGGGTATCAAGAGGCATATGGCCCTCGGGGCACAGCTGAGAAGGGGCTGTAGAAAGTGGTGGGAAATACTAGCCCCCTTTAAAAGAGTTGAACAGTGACCAAGCCCCTGTTTGGACTGGGGGCCGGGGGGAGGGTTGTCTGTGGGTGTCCTGTCATCCCAGGCTGATTCCTCTTGCTGATTATCTATGACTTGGATTCCTCACTGAGATGCCCTAGGGTCCACGACTGTTGATGAAAATAGCCATTGTGGGAGGGAGGGCCAGGCTGCTCTCCCTGTTGATGCTCACTGGGCCTTGAGCCCACATGCTCTCTACACGTGTGCACCACAGCGTGCACCTGGTCTTTGGGCCCTCGGAGCACAGCCCCAGCTATAAGCACCTTGGAGTGGTGTGTGTAGGGGAGCCCCTGGATCTCAGTGGCTGCCCTTGTCCCCCACTGTCAGCTCTTCTAGAGCCTTCTGCCTATGTTTAGCTCCATCCCCAGGGCCTCTTGCGCGAGTGCAGTGTTTCCTAATGAATATATATGTGGGGAGGGCCTAGTGCACACAGTCTGCTGCCGCCAGCATTTACCAGACTCAGAACTCAGAGGCAGACACGGAAATGAGGGGTTCCTCCAGCCTCCAGCTACACAGCCACATCAGGCCACATCACCAGGAAAGCAAAGGAGGCCAGTCTTTGCCTGAACAGTGGAGATCTGGCCACAGAGCCAGGAGTCTTGAAACTGGGTGATCCCCAGCATCACCTCCCAGTTCTCAAAGGGCCTGTGTTCGTCCCTGGAACTGGTAAAACAAAGTACCACAAACTGGGAGAGTGCACATCTGCAGGGGTATTG